TTGAGGAAGATCGTTTATTTATACTTTTTTTAGCTCTGATTTTCTTTAACAAAAACACCAATATATTTAACGAAAGTGGAAAACTCTGCATCCAAAATATGAAAGACTTTCCTGAAAGTGGCAGCATTCTTGAGCTACTACTTTTCTGCAGGCTGCGAGAAAAATAGTCACAACCTCTGTTTCCCGTACAAGATTTCTGGCCACGCAACTGGCAGTCCCGGACATCACACGGGAGCTTCCCTAGCAACAGTATTTCTAGGCAACCAGGTTGGAATGTGACAATGGGCATGCACCTGTTGCTCTAATTCCAACATTATTGGCAATCACTCCAGCTGAGCGTCGGTGTAAGGAACATCCTATTCATGAAAGCAACCAATGGCGTATTTATTTGCCGGGAACTGGCTCATTTAATTGGCTGAGATATTATCACCGCTGTTCACCAGCAAAAACCCTCCATTTACTGGCGGCATTTCCTCAAAGGCCAGTTGCCTACAGATAAACCCGAATCGATACTTTGTTATGACCTAAGAGATGCATTGTATCAATTTGAACAATGCCCCTATTAATCATTCTCTGGAAAGGTTTTTCGTAGCTGAGATTTTATTTGGGCATTTTTTTTTTCAGAGACGGGGGAAAACTTTGTGCGAAAAATGTGGGAAACTGTATTGATCATGAAATTTCACCCCCGTTATGTGTACATGCACATAGATAAACGATTGGGGTGGGGGGGGGGGTTGATATTCGAAGTCCAAATAATTTATTAAATGTAGGGCCCCTCTATGTCTTTTTTTTTTGTAGTACGTTTTATTCTTCGCTTATTTAAAAAGTCACAGAGCTGTTGTTAATCTTCTTCTTATTCCTTTCAAAATTAGAAAAAACTAAGCATAATTTGTATTACAATGGGATGGCAATTTTATTCTTTGTTTATTTTTATTTTTTTTAAATGTGTGTTCAACATTATTTTTTGTAATTGTTCTGCTCTAGAATATATTTCGGAATATTTTTTGACATTAAAGGCTGTTTGTTAATCTTGATCATATTCATTTTAAAATGAGAAAAAAACGAAGCATAATTTGTATTAAATTTTCCCCTGGAATCTGCAGAAGAATTAACTGGTTTTTAAAATCGTTTTGCTTTTAATAAAATAATATCAAGAGAACCAGACGTAAATGTATCTCTGAGGCTGGGAAATTAAGGGAATGACGATTGTATTCTTTGTGACTTCGATTATCAAAAAAAATGCATGGCCTACATTTTTTTGTGTAAATGTACTCAGAAAATATTTTGACATTAAGCATAAAATGCAAGTGCCCCTATTCCAGCCGGGAATTAGAAAAGTGTCTTATAAAAATATATTCTTGTCTGGAAAGAAATTTTCGAGACAATGATTCGACAGGTGACCTTCAAAATGTATACATTGTATATCTTTGTTGATTAGCAGCCCAGTGGAGTTACTTCTGGGACATTCATGCTAAGCTGCTAGCCAGTGAGAATTTCTTTGGTGAATAGGAACACTTATTAAACAAAATAATAAATTTATCAGAATCGATCAACACATTTAGCGCCAAAAGAATGAAAACATATTCTCATCATCTCATGCTCATATGCATGTCACTTAAGAGATTGGTTCCCTTGTAGTCTGAGAAAGTTCTTAGAGTGTCAGTTAACAGGTACATGTAGCAATACCTGGAAGTGTTCCAATCTTGTTACAAACTGAAGATCGTGCCCAAGAATTTTGAACTAGGAGAAATCATTGCCGGCGCGCCACGTGCACGGCTGGCTGTGATTTATTAAGTGCATTCAGCCGTGATACCTATTGCTATGCTTGTTTTCCTCCAGCGCTGCACTACACTGCATGTCAGTGAGCTGAGGGAGGCCGTTATGCGGCGTTGTGCGGCTCTCTGCAGTGCAGTGAAGATAGCGGTGCACTGATAAAATTTAATAGGATGCCGCGGGGCTAAATGGACTAACAAACATTGTACATTCTTTGAAAGGAAAACTGGAGGGTAGATTGTGCAAAATACAAGGTCCATTTTTTAAATTTGAGTTCCGTTTAAACGTTTGTGAAAATTTCTAAACGGATTTGATGTTTTTCCCCCGTTTAAGGTCAAAACGTGTAAGCGTCACATCCATATTCTACCATTAATTTAGCACAGGCTCTTTTATTAATACGTGGGCAACTGTATTGGCATTAATTCCTTTTACTGAAATTTATACGAGTTTTTAACATGATACTTATTTCTTATCTTCCGTAAGTCCTATCAATTAAGTTTATGAAAAAAACCTGTATTTTATCAGGGTAAAGAATAAAGTGTGTCTACTGGAAGTTTATTTTCGTGTATTTTCGTTACAATATTTTCCATGACCTGCCGCCACTGCTGCATCATTATGTTAGTTTCTTGAGTCAGGATTACTCTACTGTAGTGTCCAAAATGTAAAACTACAACATCAATTTTTTCGCAAACGTTTGTCCAACGAACCGTTTTGCTTTGTTTTGTCTGTTTATTGTTGTTGTTGTTGTTTTTTTTTCTTTTTGACGAGTTTATAGGCCATCCTCGAATTGATGGATTTTGTGTGCATTTCTTATTGCACAAGGCATGATGGGAACTAACATTGCTGCAAGATCATAACCATGGTAACAAGGATGCGCATAGACCATAGAGCTATATCAACATTACTAAAGTGCTAATGCTACGTTCCAATCACCCCGTGAAATTGTGTTCGCGAGTTCACAAGTTGTAAATAGCATTCGTACTCATGTTTGCCATTGGTGAACTGGAGGTAGAATTTTCTTCTCGAGTTGATGATGTGTGACGCGTGCATGTGCATACTGGTGAAACCCACTCATGACAACGGGTTCACAAGTTTATAGGAACGCAGATAATTAACAACTGAGAACCGCAATGGCTGAGTATACCACTATTAGGCTTGCTTAACAAAATGAGATTCTCTCAGGGCAGCGTTAAAATTGAGCCACCATGCACCAATGCGATGAAGGTCCTGGTGCCCCCCTCCCCTTGCTTGTCATATTAAATTTGGGGCGAAAATTTGTTTAACCCACATTTTCGGGGATCTAAAACATTTTTTGGTTTCCCCCCCTAAAAAAAAGTGTTCTGGATTCGCCCCCCTATCAGGAGTCGTGGTCATTCAAAACACATATATTTTTGTTTTCTATGTTGTGATATCCTTTTGTACTCTGACCCAATAATTTTGCATTTCATTATCTTATAATGTATAAAAGGCAGGCATGCTTGGCTGGAGAAGTCTTTTTTTCCCCCCTGCTACCGGTACTTAAACCACTTGCTTGTTACTTTGTTAATGGACATGTAGGAGTTGAACAATACAGCGTGTCCCAAAAAAATGTCCCTCTCATAGACCACAAAATAATTACCGAAATCAAGTTTTATACTCAATTAAGTTAACATATTTAGAAAGCCCACTTAATTTTGTAGTTCCTGTGAAAATTTCAAAGGTCTCGCTTCATTGGTTTTGAATACACAGGCTCTTATGTAACAGCAGTGCTTTCCGGCCCATTCCAAGTTTGATAAAAAGAAATGCACACTACAGACATACCATACCTTATTCCATGCTTCACTTTTATTTCAACAACTGTGTTCTTGTTTTTGTTATTAGGTAACTAAAGTCAAGTTCATTTACTTTTTTAAATGAAAACTAATCAAATTTCAGTTCCACTGGTCGTGTTTGCTTTCACAGCGTGTGTTCCATTTATGGTTTGTCCTTCAATGTCCAGCTTGTAAAGACATTTAAGGCAGTGCAGACAATGTAGCACTGCAAACTTGGAATGGGCTGAAAAGCACTGCTGTTTATACATAATAGACTGTGTATTCAAAACCAATGAAGCGAGACCAATGAAATTTGCACAGAAGTTACAAAATTATATGGACTTTCTAAATCTGAACACTAAATTGAGAATAATACTTGATTTTGGAATTAATTTAGCAGTCTATCAGAGGGACATTTTTTTGGGGACACGCTGTATAGTTGGTGTTTCTCCATACTCGGTAGCCAGGGTAGTCTTACTCTTGTACATTGTAATGCAGTACCCTAGCAAACGGAGTCCACATTTTTACTCTTTTGACCTCACTCAATTAATTATTCATAAAACTTCCAATATGGATTGACACAATTTGACCACCTACATCAGCTCATGGTACTCTTTCCTACCTCAAGCTACATACTGGGCTTTGGCTGCCACTAGGTAAGCCTTTCTCTGCCCAGGCTCTCGCTTCCACTAGTCCTCACTCCCGACAAAAAGCTTTCTACCATTCAAGAGGCACTGAATGGAAATTCTCTGATGATCTATTATGTTGGCTGTCTATTCTGGGAAAAAAAAGCTCATACATGTACATACACAACAGCCACCATATTTTGTGGCCTACAAACAATTTGGGCTATTCACAATGCAGTGTGCCACCAAGAGTTTGCCATGGCAAGTTCATATTTCCCAGTGCATTGTGGGATATGGTCGACAATTCGCAGCGCAGGACATTTGAAATTGTTAGTTTTTTGCGGTCAGTAGTTTCGTAAGCATATGATTCGAGTATATGTTTGCCCTTTTGTTTTCTTTTTACCAATATAGTGTTTTTTGTAAGGCAGCAGAACGCTATGCCCCAATCTATAACAAATTAGCTCAAATTGTCTACTGACACTCATTCAAATGGGCCATGTTTTGTCGACCGTAAACTTGAAAAATGGACTCTCCATGGCAAACTCTTGGTGGCGCACTGCATTTTGAATCACTTGAATTGCACCAAAAGGCTACATTTACCAAGCTCAACAGAAATGACCTTGTAGATCTTAAATATTCAGTGCATAGGGAAATGTCAAAAGACTACGCAGACAATCTGATTGGTTGACAACGAGTGTCAATACATAGTAAATATGTTGACTTGGTTTGCCAGGGTAGTCTTATGACATACATACTACCCTGGCTAGTGAGGATGGTTTTTCTTTTGAAATTTTTTGAACTTTTTTTTCAGCATGACACAACTAAGAAAACCAAAAGACAAAAAGAGGCAAATATGGCAAAGAGGAAAGAGCTGGATGTACTGAAAGAAGAAGTGGTCATCAGTGAAAATGAACTGTCTGATATCAGAAAGGTATGTAATGGACAACTCTTATAGTTTAGTTGGAAAAAGGCGGTATCGTGCACCCTCGGAAATCAATTTCTAATCAATGTCTCTAGGTCAGAGAAAATGCGTAGATAATGATTTGCTATGTTAAAAAATTCAAAAAATGTCCCACGTATTGTTTTATGCAAATTAGTGCTGCCATTACCGAAAAATCAATTTTTCACTAAGGTGTCTTAACCCATGTTTTGAGGGTCAAGTATCATTAGAAGACCATTCCCGAAGTAACTATGTGTGTTTTTGGCATGAAAATATGTAAATTATCAAGTGTCGATTTATCAGAAATCATATTTTTAGCCAATATCTTGGCCAATATTGCACATAACTACACAAGTAAGGTGTCTAAACCAATGTTTTTAGGGTCAGGTATCAATAGAAGACCATTCACGAAGGAACTATGTGTCTTTGGCATGAACAAATGTAAATTCTAAATTGCCGGTTTATCACAAATTTGATTTTCAGCCAATATTTCATTCAATTTCAGCCAATATTACAGTTTATTTTGAATATGATGACTTTGATCATTACTGCTGATCAAAAACCCATCTGTCAACATTATAGCTGCAATATTAGCTGAGATATTGGCTAAAAATCAAATTTCTGATAAATCGGCACTTTAGAATTGACATATTTACCTGCCAAGGACACACATGGTTACTTTCTGAATGGTCTCCTGATGATACATGACCCTCAAAACATAGGTTTAGACACCATACTTGCGAAGTTATGTGCTATATTGGCAGAGATATGCCAAAAACATGATTTTTCGGTATTAGCGGCACTAATTTGCATATTCCTATACCACAGACATTTGTGGTCACTTCCAGAATAGTTTTATTGTGATCTCTGACCTTGAAAACATGGGTTTAGACACCTTATTCATTCAGTTATTTGCAATATTAGCTAAGATATAGTGAAAAATAGATTTTTCGGTAATGGCGGCACTAATTTGCATAAAAACAATACATGGGACTTTTTTGAATTGTTTAACATAGCAAGTCATAGAGACGTTGATTAGAAGTTGATATCCGAGGGTGCATGATACCCCCTTCTTCCACCCAACTATTAAGATATATTTCAATTCACTCCTTGCACCAGAATCAATTTTCATGTTAGAGAAAATAAATTGTGTGTAATTTTACAAGTGTGGAAAACTATCAAAGGACTGTGCTCACAGTCCTCTTTGATTGGTTTTGTCTAACAGCTCCTAAAAAGGGGGACTGAGGTGTCTTATCATATGACATTGCAGGGGCTATACGGTCCCACACACGGTACAATGTATGACTAGAGCTAATGTGCTTCCCGAAGCACGGATATCAGCCTTAATAGCCGCTTTAAGGGTTCGTCTGCACATCTTTTCTTTATTCTATATGGTCTGAACTGACTCGGCGTACTTTCAAAAACGCTTGGTCTAAACCATTAACTGATTTTGACATTACGCCCGCCGAGAAAATACATGAAACTTAATACATGTATGGTAATCTCTGTAGATGAATCTGCCTTAAACATAAAAAATTAATCACAGCGATAGTGTTGTTTATCCCTTTCAACTCAGTCCTGTGTAAAATCGATCGCCGGCAATCGAAAATTTGTGAGTATTGTATTTTGCGTTTCCTGCCCTCTTTTGACTCATGTTTGATACCATTTTTTTTAGCTTTATAGACTGGCTACCCAATGGTGTCATTTGTTTTTGTATCTGAACGTTACGCTTTCACAGGTGAAGTGAAAAAGACGCCCGACCCATGTTGTTTACCACGCATGGTTTGTTATGACCCTTTACATTCGTCATGTACATGTACTGGTACAGTGAATTCAAGTACGCTCTTTGTCACTTCTTTTGCCCTAATTTCTGCCTAAATCTGCCCGGGGAAACTCCTAAAAAAAATGCAGATAACAAAGTACAACCCAAGAGGAACTTGGTTGACAAAGATGTTTTAAATCTTCTTGATTTGGGCAACGTAAATGATGAGAAAGGAGACCTGGACAGCAGTGCAGACATTCTGAACGTCATGCGATGTATGTAGTAGGTACACGTACAGTGATGCACGTAATATCTTCCCAATATTTTTCGTTGCCATGATAATCATTGAACAATATTCTAAATGCTATGTCACTATTTATGCAAGGAAACATTTTCCAATAACTCAGTGGAAGGCATTTATATGTATTTTTATACAAAAATTAATAATTTTTGGTCTCATGGAATAGTGAATAAAAGATAGTGTGAAATACCTCAATTCATACATTTTGCACCAAAAGTGCACTATTTGTGTCATTTTGGGTTGGTTACTATGACAACTATAAATGGATACAATTGCTCTCTGAGGTGTTTTCTCATGAAGTGAGAGTCGTATTTTGTAGTGACTAGTGCAGTGCCCGTCTAAAATGTGCATGTTTGGGAAGGGCAATTGCTTGGCCCCTGGTATTGGTTGCTTGCAGCATTTTTGAGAGCTTCTCGTGCAAACAACGCACCCAATTCAATGGTGTTGTTTTTACAGGTTGAATGCACACGTACACTCACAGGTTGAACGTACATTTTTTAATGTGTGCTTGCAGCGTTTTTGAGAACTTCTCGTTAATGTGGACGGAATTATAGTAGGAAAACGTAGAAAAAAAATGGTGCTATTGTTTATTCCATTGTTGGTAATGGAATAGCCCCCCCAGTGAAGGTCAGCTAGCTCTTTGCACACGTACACGCGTGCAGTGTTAATGTGACATCACACAACTCAGTGGCGCCATACGCACGCGTGGTGTTGCGTCATATTGCGCACGCACGCTTTAGCTTTACATGACGTAAATAATGGAAAAGAACAGCAGTGCGTGGTGTTATGTTCTAAGCTATATATATATGCTGCCACGTTTGCCTCAGAAAAATGCTGCTTTTTTGCAGTTTTTCGAGAACCGCTCATCCAAACCACTTCAAACTTGGCACTGCACATTCTGATGTCCCAAACAATACACCCGCTGATTTTCAACTTCACACGGCGCCCATTTCTGGAGATAATCGAAATACAGACAGACAGACACACACACACACACACACACACAGATTCCTGGAATTATAGTAAGGATGCATTCAAAAGTCTCCTAGCAGTTTGTTTTCATATTTTTTTTACCAAAAATCCACAAAAATTGATTAAAACAACCCAAAATTTAGGTGTCTACTTCACTCTACTTACCTGTAGAGCAACACTACTTATGCATATTCCCCCTACCGGCAGGTATTTTCGCTAAGAGTTATATACAATAGCGCCCTCCGGCGCCCTACCCATAACACCCCGCGGCATGCGTGCCTCGTGAGCGTCCTCTTTTCTCTTAGCGGCAGGTCGGGTAGGACGTGCGTGAAATAGCTCGCTGTTTGCCTCGTCATTTACTACCCTTTTTTGCGTTTAAGAGAAGTATTTAATAAAAGAGTTAGTAATCATTAGTTTGTAGAGTTTCATCATCTTCTTGGTTTCGTTTATTTCATAAATATGAAGCGTTTGGGGAGGGCCGATCTGTCACTAACCGGAGGGAATAGTTCTCCCACGGGACGGACCGAGTTCTCGGGGGACTCTGCCGTTAACGCTCCGTCGTTACCGCGGCAGCAGTCTCTCGTCCGGCACCCTCAGCCACAGTCGGCTGGGGGAGTTGGCAGTTCCGCCGATCAGTTAAGGGGACCTCGGTCACCTTCTCCGGTCAACTCGGGCGGAACACCCAAACTAAAGGCACACTCCGGCAAGGTTCCCCTAAAACATATCTCCTGTGCCGGAGCAAAGCCTAAGAAGGGCCGTCAGGGCAAGCGTGGCTCGGCAACGAGCGCCGCTTTGGCACCTAGCCCTCCCCCGATCACGGGGCAGCCCGAGGGGACTAGCCGTCACACTTCGGTGGGCTCTAGTCACCCGTGCCCTCCCGACACAGTGCCGAACACCACTGGTTGTCGGGATGGGCTATTGCACGGGCTACCGGTCCGTCCAGCGCTCGCTCAGCCCACGGGGCCTGAGGCGCTGTCGGCCGGGTGCATTATGAGCGATACGGAGCCGGTCGCCCCGGGGGGTCCCGGGCCGACGGCCCCCGTGCTAGCTCACTCAGAGGGACTACTCTCGTCATCGGATTTTTTCCGTTGTTCGGGGGTCCCGGTGCCCCAGGTGTCTTCCGATTTTCCTCGGACACACCTCGGGGCCGTTCTTCTAAAAAGAAGAATAAGAAGAAAAAGGCTGCACGTCGATTGCACCGTTCTTCTTCGGGGTCTGACGACTCCTCTGACCGGTCCCGCCGGGGCAAACGCTCCCGGGGGGAGGACGCGGTTTCTAGAGCAGATTTCCTGCTGGCTTTTCAGTCGATTTCCGATACGCTATCGGCTATGTCGGCAGGCCGCCGGGCGGGCCCTATTGGGGGCCCCCCTGCAGCAGTGGACTACGGCCCACAACCATCGGTCGTTGGGCCCGCATCACAGTCTTCAGTCACCGGTCACGCTTGGGTGACCCGTGAACAAAGGGACTTACTGCACAGATAGCCGTGCTCCTGGAGTCTTTATCTGCAGTGAATGCTTCATAGTCGTCATTCATTGGTCACGATTGCGTGGCCCAAGCACAACGAGGTACATGTACAAAAATGAAAAAAAAAAAAAAAAAAAAGCCACATGTTCATACATGTTCATGTATACCACACATGGTTGCGCGCTATACCGGAAGCCCGGCCTACGGCGAACGGGACTTCACATTCGCCGGCCGTGGAACACGGTCGCGTGGTCCAGAGACAACGGGACCTACCGCACACAGTTAGCCGTGCGCCAGGATTCCCGCTTGTGTTTAGTCTTCACCATCTGCATAATATTATGTATATTATCTCCGAGGGTGTTGCCCAGCCACCACCGCGTGGTTCTGTACAACTAGCCCCTCCAGACGGCTCTCAGTCATCGGGGTCATTTTGGCCTTCGCATTCGGCTGATTCATCCGATAATGACGGAGAATCAGACCGGTTACAATGGC